GGCTCCTCTACACCATTAAACTTACTTAAATAGGATAATGGCTTCCCAAAGATTCCATTTTTCTGAAATTGCAACACTTCCCCCTCCTATTTCCCTCCCTCCCTCCCTCCCTCCAAACAAACAAACAAAGAGTTAGGGCTTCAGAACTCCCAGAATCTATTTTCTTACAATGTAAACCTACCTTCTTGGTCATGAGTAATTGGTCTCTTTGAATTTCTGAGCATTGGTGATTCTGTCATGGGGATATGGACCTGAGGACATATGTACTGGAAGTTGTGAGCTACAATCATGTTCCTCCATGTGGATGACAAAGCAGAGAACACCATTTTGTATATTATTCATAAGATGACATGTGTCTTACTTTGCCTGAGACATTCCCTGCTTATATCCATTGTCTCAGGATGATTATGAATAGTGTCTTCTCTCAAAATGTCCTGATTTGGAAGCTAAATTATATGGTCACCCAATCACTGAAGATTCTGATGGCAAATGATAGAAGCTGAACTTGAACAGCAGCTGCCTAGTTAGCATTATGGGTTCCACCATCCAAAGTGAGAGACATAACATTCAAGCACTTGGAAAGAGTGAGAGACATAACATTCAAGCACTTGGAAAGAGGGACAGCATTTACTGCTATGTGGGAGCAAGTGTCTCTGAACTGGGAAGTCTCCTATATCTTTTCTATGGTAAGGAGGGGAGTTCCTTTTTGAGTTTGGTTCTCCTGTAAGTGTTGCCGTGTAGGCCCCGCATTATTGGTGATTTGTAGAGTAGCTCAGCCTAACGTGTTGACCCTTGATATGATTGCTACAAAGGCTATTCTACCTTGTGCTCTGGCTGCTGACTTTATGAATAAGTGGGCTAGGCAATCTTCATGTGTGGATGCTGGTAAGAGACTGTGACCATCATTGGGATTTTGACCAGAGTTCATGCATTCATTCTCTCTGTCAACTAAAGTCAACCTGCAGGGAGAAAGAGAAATGAAGTGGGTGCACAACAAGCAGAAGAGCACAAAGAAATGATGACTTGGGTTTCCTCCTATGTTTCCATCCCCAGGGGCTGCCTCTGAGGTATATGCTTGCCTTAGTCTCCAAAGATGCCACCATTTCTTCATAATTATAATACCTTCAGGCTTAAGTTCTCTCCAAAACCTTTCTGTAACTAGCACTCCTTAAAGTCCCAGTCCAAATCAGAATCTAAACTCAAAATTAGCAGATTTAATGTTCATCAGCGATCAGGTCAGTAGCTAGAATTCATGTGTTTGTGCTTTTACTGCATGAATATTGAATGCTTAGTGTATGCTGGACATTGTGCTATCTTCAGGGAATACAGTAAGACAGACAGACATATTCCTACCTGCATGGAGTCATCAAACCAATAATTACAGATGTGAGATCCTCCCCACTCGTCTTCAAAAGATTGATCAAATAATCCACTAGCATAATTCAGAACTTTGTTTATGTATCCTGGGTATTCATAGCCTGTAAAAAGTCACTGAAGTGAAAATCTCTGCTCAAGGATGGGTTCCATTCTATTTTTCTGTGTGGTGTAAGAAAATAGTCCAGTTTCATTCTTCTGCATGTGGCTGTCCAACTTTCCCAACACCATTTGTTGAAGAGACTGTCTTTTTTTTCCATTGCATACTCTTTCCTGCTTTGTTGAAAGAAAGACAGGTTTGGAAACATATGAGGGATATTTTTTAACTAAAAATATACATGCATAAATATTATATATGTGAGCTGTGAGGTATTATTAAAGTGGTTACTTTTTTAAAAATATGCTTTTACATCCCACTATGGATATGTCTTTGAAATGGTTTTACATGGTTGTTGCATGGATTAGAATAGAAAACAGAATTGTACTATGTGAGCCAAACCTCTGGAGAAAGCATTTTTTCTCAAAAGTCGGGATTGGTGGGGGAGAGATTGGCTCAAGACCAGGAAGAAGCTTGAGAGGTGATTTGGAGGCAAGGGATCATTGAGATCATGTTCTCAGGCTAAGTGGGTGAGGCAAATAAGGAAATAGACTGATTGCGTGTAGTGTTCCCTTCTTAAATCATTGTGTTCTTTTATATTTCTTAATTTATCTTCACTAAATGTAATTCCCAAGTACAGAACAGTCCAGGGGTTTTCCTTTATAGCATGTACATTAAGTCAACAGATGAGGCAGAACAAGAATTGGAGTGAGACCAGCACTACTTAGGCCCATCAGGGACCTCCTGAGAACAATTTGAGCTTAGTTTAGGGCTTCTAGGAATACTTACGGAAAATCTTCCAAGTTTATCAAGGACTTGGGCTAGCAGAGTTTTAACAACTGTAGGCCAGTCTTGACAACTGTAGGGTTCTAAATAGGCAATACTATGTGGCATATGACCCAGAAAGCCTGAAACTGTGCTTGGCCCTCTCTATTAAGTCCACTTAAGGTGGAAACCCTGATAGAATATTCCTTCATCCTCTCCACCTGAGGGTAGTGAGGTGAAGGAGGCAAGATATATTCCTTCAGGAATAGTCCACAGAGATCTGAGGTCTATGTATAGCCAGCTGACAAACCTTGCTAACGATACTGATAATCGTGTTGAAAGTTCACTGGGGCTACTCACTGTTCCAGTGCTTTTTGTACACTGTTCATTTCCCATAAACACATGTGACAGATACTATAATTATCCCCATTTGTAGATGAGGAAACTAAAGCAGGGAGAGTTAAAGTAACCTGTCCAAGGTCACAGCCAGAAAGTGACAGAGCTAGAATTTGAACTGGGGCCTTCTGGCTGCAGAGGACGTGCTTTTATAATTTTTCTGCCTCTCCTTAATGTTAGTAGGCTGGTGGCAACTAGTTCTTGGCCCACGTTAGGTGCTTAATGAACATTTATTGACCAACTGACCATTGGACTCATGGCAAGCTCTCCTTGATTTGCGAAAAGGTGGGCTAATCCTAAAACGTGCAGTTGGATAGTGCATATGTAGAAGCCAGTCCCTTCCCTCTTGTATCTATTAAAGACGGAAACCTTGTGGATCTTGAGAAATGTTCTTTTTTTTTTTTTAAAGATTTTATTTATTTATCTGAGAGAGAGAGAGAGAGAATGAGAGAGAGAACACGAGAGGAGAGAGGGTCAGAGGCAGAAGCAGACTCCCCGCTGAGCGGGGAGCCTGATGCGGGACTCGATCCTGGGACTCCAGGATCATGACCTGAGGTGAAGGCAGTCGCTTAACCAACTGAGCCACCCAGGTGCCCTCTTGAGAAATGTTCTTAATCTTAGAACTAAAATGTTCTTTTTGAGCCACATCTCCCTTGAAAATCATATCAAAGTTTAAAATTCTCTCCACATAAAAATGCTCACACACAATGTTGTTGTTTTGCATAACATATGGGTTTGTTTCGATCTCTAGAACCTTCCAGGAATAACAACAGTAGTTTCTGAGGAGTATCTTTGAACTTTGGACGTTGATACCTTTCACTTTCAAGTGAGTTATATGACTGCTTAATTCAGGGAAAACTGTATTCACATTTTATTGAGGTGGTTGCTTTTGTTGTTCTCCTTCAGGGGAAAGCTCTGTGCCAGGGTTACAGTTGGCTGTGGTCACTAGCTGGCTGCCTGGTAAGAGCACAGTTTATGCATTCCGTGGCGGAGCTCCAGAAAGGCCGAGCGCTCTGCTGGGGAGCGGATGTATGAGCTCCAGGTTTCTGACACGGCCATTACTGATGATGCCCCTGCTGAAAGACCTCATTATTACCATGGCAAATACCGGGCGAACAAAGGGACCACTGTCAGAACAGAGGGCTATCTGTTATTGTTAATTGAATATTTTTGATTATGGCATTAAGTTGGTTAGAGTATTACAGCATGTCTTTTTGGGGCATGGGTTCATTTGTGCAGCTTCTCTTAATACGGGAACTAAGTAGCACATGCTCACACACTCACAAGCCTCCTTTATCTGAGTTGTGGTGAACGACAGTTGCAAGCTGTCGCCATCTATTTGAAGAGTTCACAGTCTTTTGAGGGGGGCGGAGGTGAAGAGTATAGGAGAATGGCTTGAATTTTGCTATCTTTTTCACATTTGAGATTCTCTGTAAAATACCATTTGAATGAACATGAAGTCCTTCGTGAGACCGTAGAGATATAAACATGATGTGTTGCTGGGATCAGCGTGTTTTAGTTCTCAGGCAAAGACTCGAAGTGTTGGACAACTTTGGGAAGTGGCTGATTACATCATCTGTGTGAAACCACACCGCATCCTTGGTCACAATGAAGGGCTTTAGGATGAGTGGGAATAACACTGGATGGAGGGATGAAGACCTGGGTTCAGTTCCAGTTCTGCCATTAATAACCTATGTGATCTTCAGCAGGCAACTCCCTTCCTGAGCCATAGCCTAAGGAAGAGGGGTTGAGCTGTAAGCATCTTGGGAGCTCTGAAATACTATTATTTTGTGAAAAGACAAGACCTCAAATTTTTTGTTGTCAGGAGCTGTTCCGGAGCGCTTGAATCTGACAGTTGAACTCCCTGAAATTTGTTTTCCGTGTTCCATTCGTAAGGGCATGGGACTTCCAAGTGCATCACAGTATCGTGGATACACACAAAGAAACGAAGTCAATGCTTAGAATTCACTTTTGAATTTCTCTGAATGTTACTTCCAGGATTAAGAGCAGGACATTCTTGATTTATTTTGTGTTTTCCCCTTGCAGTGTGACAGATATTCAGGTAATAATTCAGGTAATAATACGATGCATGCCTTTGAGTTGTCTCCCCTAAATTTAGCCTAATTCTTTCTTTATTTTTATAGAAATAATTGTTATTATTTTCTTTCCTTTGGGAAGTCCTGGGAGCCAGTCAATTGTGAGATGGCCTGACAGAGAGGATCTTGTTGAGTTGAATTATTTACTCACCATTTAAGCCACTTCATTTCTATGATCTTAATTTTTCCAAATATCAGCTTCCCACATCCTGGCCTGTAGGCACTCTAGGAAGCCTACAGTCAAAGGACAGAGCGGAACATTTAGCAAAGAATACGAAAGAGAAAATAAATCAACTTTTATTTATTTATGCTTTCAAAAGACGGGGGTATGGGACATACTATATTTTGATGCTAACCTGAGGGGCAAAAACATGAGGGGATTAATGATGTTGACATAAGTTGTATTTCCTGAATGTTACATTAGATTTTGGAGCTTTGGTTCAAAAACAAAATTATGACCTTACCACAAAGTTTTAGTGTATCTGAGGAGCATTCAGTTGAATACTATCTAATGAAAAATGTTTTTGTTTCTTCCCACAGCAGGTTGGTGATGATTTTCTGGGTCCCTTCTCTTAAGATGAGGGATTCTTTCACATTCTGGTCTCCTCTAGAGGTCGGTTCATGAAGTCTTGAACAGCCTGATGCAAAGGAAGCCACTTTTTGATGGACGCTTTCAGAGCTGTAATCCAGCTGTAGAAATAACAGTGCAGGTCATTTAAACAATTTTTAAACAAACAGGTCATTTAAAACAATTATTGGGCTGTAGGAAGATGAAATGTTAAAAAATCTTTTAAATTTATTTCCTAATTTTTTCTCTTGGTTATTTAGTTTGAAATTAATATAGCAAACCCCGATTCTTAGGTTTGGATTGAACAAAAAGGTAAAACATCAAATGTGGAATAGACAATGGTAGCAAAGAAATAAAACTATGTTGATGTAAATAATAGGATCAGAAGAAGGCACAATATTTGTAAATAGTGATTAATGGAGCTATAGGGCTTTTACAATCGTTACTAGTATTTTACTGTTTCTATTTAAATTTCAAGTTCAGTTGATCAAATGTATAGTAATCAAATATTGCCATTAGGACAAAATACTCCTTTTTACATTCTGTTAATCACAGGGAACTCTGCAGCTTAGCTCCTCTCTTTTTCTACTCCCTTCTTTTCATTTTATTGGATGATGTTTTATAAAATGTACCCATATATAATTTATTCTAAGGGTAGTTAATTTTTTTTTTTTTTTTAAAGAATGGTTTGGGTCAGGTAAGCTCAGGTAGTGGGAGGTATAGAAAGATAACTAAGGATTCGTTCAGCACAGTGTGTCAGGAACATTAATAAGTTAATGTGCTTTGTGATTTCTCTGAGAGGAGAATATGATTTGTATCATTTCTTAAACTTACTTAACTATTTTGGGGGAGTAGGGCATCTTGTGCCAGAATTGCCTGAACCACACTTTGTGAAACTCTGCTCTTATGCTTTGAAATATTTCTCTAGTGACTCAGTGTTGTTTCCTATTGATAATATCCACTCATGGATTTGGCAGTGAAATCCAACTATTCAGCCTCCACTCTTATCAGATAGGAGTTAACTTTATTTCATTGACCCCTTTTCTTTTTTTTTTTTTTCATTTTATTATGTTATGTTAGTCACCATACAATACATCATTAGTTTTTGATGTGGTGATCCACGATCCATTGTTTTCATAAAACACCCAGTGCTCCATGCAGTACGTGCCCTCCTTAATACCCATCACAGGGCTAACCAATCCCCTCTCCCCCCTCCCCTCTAAAACCCTGTTTGTTTCTCAGAGTCCATAGTCTCTCATGGTTCATCTCTCCCTCCAATGTCCCCCCCCCCCCGCTTTTCTAATACGCCAACAGGAGCCTCACCTTCAAGAGAACCCTCTTGGTCCGCCACCCAGATTGTAGAGCACAAGCCCAAGGAAAGAGATCTTGGCAAAATATCTAGCAATTCTATATTCATTAACCTCCCACTCTAGCCTATCCTTAGGAATGAGAGGAGCAGACAGGGTTTACATAATGGGAGAAGGCCTGGGGAGACTCTCCCTTCCCTAAATGGTTACTTGCTGGAAATCCTGAAATTCTACTTTTAGAGTTTTATTTCTTTGGGTTAAAGCAATGTATTTGGTTCTTGTAAATACCCCTGAAAATTTTACCATGTTCTCTGTTTTAACAAATGACTGGGGATTTCTTTATTAGATCTGTTTAACCCAGACAATTGGGAGAAAGTGTCTGGATGAGGTAAGGGATGGTCATCAAGCAGGTGAGGGTAGGAATGGGAGGGTACTGGATGTCTTGGGGATTGAAATTAGATGGAGAAGGATCCTCTAAATCCAAGAGAATACTTCCTCTGCCTCATGGTTTTGTCTCTGTTCATTCTATTGCTCTTCCCCCCGCCAAATCATCATAAACCCAAGAGCCCATTTGTTCATGCCAAGCTGGATAGTGAACATATTGAATTAGATAGGTAAGTTCTGTATCCTTCAGTGGCTTATAGCAAAATGAAACAACTGACCACATTCAGATGGACATATCAATAGAGTTATATGAAAGGAGGTGAGACAATGAATCTGAATTAATAACTTATAATATTTACAGATAACTGTGTTAGTGGATTTTTTATGTTGAAGTCTAGGTCAGCCACTGCCTTGGGAAGAATGGTGGATTCCTTTTCCATTGGAAAAAAGTACTCCTGGAAGAGTCATCTTCTATGCATTGAAAGAAAATAAAATCCTGGGGAATATTAACTCTAGAGACTTTGCAAAGAAAGGTAGAGAGTTAATTGAGGATGGGAGTTGAAGGTGGAAAGTAAGGATAAGGGTTTTGCTAAGAAGACTCTTTCAGGGCAGATGAAGAAGAAATATGCAGACCTCGACTTACCGTTGGTTCTCTGTCTTACTTTCTGCACAGAAATAGAAAGTCTTGAACTCTTCGGATGGGGGTTTGAGTTCAATTACTGACTGCTTGAAGCTTAGGGTCTGTTCATTCACCCTATATCCTTGTAGATACAGGCCACCTACAGAGGTGAAAGAAAAAAAAAATGAGAAGAATAGGGGAAAAGTAAGATGGAGAATAGGAATCTGAAAAAGCACCAAGAAAAATTTTTATCTGCAGAAACCTCTAATCTAGGTGTCTTATTTTACAGATGAAGAAACTGAGACTCAGGAGAGTGTATAATTTAAGGTCCTCCACTAATGATTAATGTCAAGACTGGTAATAGAAGTGGATTTCCTGGTTTTCATTTTTGTGGTCTTCTCACTGTATGTTCTGTATTTCGCTTTGGGTTCCTGTGGGACTAAGCTAGCTACTTTACTGGGAGGACACATTTTGAAATAAATTTCTTGGTATCAAAGAGTGACACCTGCAGTATCACATTAGAGGAAAATTAACTAATATTTGCTTGGGCAGAACCATTAAGACATCCTTCCTGAATAATGAGATTGCTAGCAGTTTCTAAAACCAACACAGATTCTCACCCTTTTTGTGCAAATGCAAAGCACATTTAAAATATGAACCCACAGGGTGATATGAGGGAGCAAACTTGAATTAAAATGAGAATAAATGACTGGTTTTAGAAGATAATTTCTTCCCCATGGTCCTTTGAATCTGTGTTAGTAGATATAGATTGCTTGGTCTGAATTTTGTTTCCATTATTTGGGGGTAGGGAGAGCATATCAGTTTGGGGGACGATGCTGAAAAATTAAAACCCTTTGTGTTTTATAGTGTCTTCATGCTCTGAGCTAACCTGAATCTCATGTAGATACTCTAGGCAGCATTGCTAATATCGACGATTAGATGTTTCAACCTCTTTCTTATTCTTGCTAACTCTTGTTCTCCCATTTCCCCCCAGGATCCACGTTAGTGCACTGACAATCATCCTATGCCAATAAGAGACTGTGAAGGGAAAATTTGGTTCCTTTGAATATGATTGACTTTTGTTTTCCTTTTGTTTATATTTGGTACCAGTGTCTGGAAGTCAATGTTTTTTTCTTTTTAAGCACAAAGAGTGGCTTTCAGACTTTAAAATTTGCCTATTTTATAGAGGGGGTTTAGATGCAGTACTACATTTAAAAAATGTTTTCATTTAAAGAGTTGGTTTTAAAGCTAACTTCTAGAAAGCACTCATTTTAGAAATGGTTAGATTTTTTTCCCTTTAGTAGGCTCCAGTAAAATGGTGTTTGCCAAAATCCGAGAGTCACTGCTGTCTTTGTGCTAATGTACACACCATAAAATTCACACATTTGAAGTGTGCAATCAGTGATTCTTAGTTTATTTATGGAGTTGTGTGACCATCACCAGAATCCAATTTTAGTACATTTCCTTCACCTCAGAAAGAAACTCCTTACCCGTTATCAGTCACTCCCCATTTGCTGTCCCATCCTACCACCAGGTGATCTAACCTCCTTTCTGTCTCCGTGGATTTGCTTCTCCTGGGGCGCTTAATATAAATGGAATCATACAATATGTGGTCTTTTGTGACTGGCTTCTTATAACTAGTATGCTGTTTTCCAGGTTCATCCATGTTGCACCATGTATCAGTTCTTTATTCCCTTTTATTGACAAGTGATATTCCATTGTATGGGCATAGCACATTTTATTTATTAGTTCATGGACATTTGAGTTTTCTTCATTTTTTGAGCTCTTATGAATAATGTTATGAACATGTACAAAATTTTGCATAGTTATATATTTTGGGGTATGTACTAGAAGTGGAATAAGCAATATGCTGGATGTTTCAGGACTGTGGGCTACCTAAAGACATATCCAAGGGTTAGTTTGCTGTCTTAATTCTCTGCTCCCAACAATAGTACAAAGTTTTTATATTACTGCACTGGTTTCTGACCTCTTCCTACTCGTGAGATTTCTCTTTCTCATATGTCTGAGCAGATATGGATACCCTCTCCCGTCCCTACCCTTTTTGAGAACAAATAGAAAGTTTTGTCCAAAAAAGATGTCTGCTACAAACAGGAGAGTTTCTGACCCCTTTTCTAGCCAGTTATAGGGTAAAAATGATTGGCAGGAAAAACATCCGATTACAACCCCATTACCTCATTTGAGGTGACCTCATTGGACCAGTCTCTCTGTTATTAAGTAGCAGCAATAAATAGCAAGCTGGCACAACACTTGGACAGAGATTTCTCACAAGAACTATGTAAGCATTAAGTGTTCCATTTGTTGCAATAATGTAAAATGTATCTGAGAAGTGCACACAGACCTTGAAGTGATTTATTCAAGAACAATAGTTAATAGTCACGATTTGTTACTTTCAGCTTTTGCTGGAGAAAAATAAAAGGAAAAAAATCATCAAGTATATGGCGAACGACAAGGGGCTTCAGGCCCATGAAGAGGCATTTGACTAAAGGGCTTTTGGAATACTGATGCAGTGGCTTTTTAATATTAGCCTGCACAGGCAAGCCAGTAATGCATATTGTTTAAGTATGAGCACTTTCCTTGACAGTAAGCAGAGACTGGTGCTATTTCTACAACTCTGACAATACACATTAGAGGCATGTTTATCTAGGTGAGAGTAAAATATGAGATTCACATCTAATGTAGTTTTCGCAGAAAGTTAGGGCCATATCGCTCGCTTCTCACGTCGTGTACTTTCCCCTCATTTCCGTTATCTTTCCCGGCCTTTTCTTTGCTGTCCCTAGGATTGCCTCGCTACATCAGGTGACTTTTACAGTCAGTAAGTCATGTCCCAAACACTACAGATACCTTTAGAAGTGAGAAATATCACACGAGGTCTCCGGGATCTCACATCAAGAACATAAATCAATGGAATAAAATAAATACAAAATAAAATGAAAATAAAGCAGGAAGGCAACTGAGATGCTCTGCTCAGGGGGGTCATGTCTCTGTGAAGTGGTGACCACAGAAGCCTGAGCCTAATAACAAAGCAACTGATATAGTAGATGTAGGACAAAGATAATTGAAAGGAAAGAACCTTTTTTAAATGCCCTAAGATTCTGAACATGAAACTGCCCATTTAGCAAGCATGGATGCAAAGACAGTGTTTTGGTACTTGAGTGTTTTTCCAACCTTTTTGGCTGTGATCCAAAGATGTTAATAAATGCAGAGCTCTACATGTTTCACACAGTTAGCCCAAAAGTTTTATGAAACACTGGGATGTACCATGATACTTTCTATGCAATTAAACTCTATTCTGTTGTATTTTTAAATACTTGTCACAACCTACTACGTTGACTGCATGACTCAGTAACAGGGAGAAAACCTGTAGTTTGATGAATAATGCTATAAATAGCAACCAACACCTGCTTCACAGGGCTGGAGAACAAGGAACCAAACAAGGGTGGGATATGCAAGAGCCAAGCAGAGCTTGGACAATACAAGTAAGGGAGGAAGTAGAGATCGGACCGGTGCACAGGTCATTCACTTAGCATCACCTAGAAGAACTGAAAATAACTACTAGAACTCTGTATAATCTTTATGAATATAAAGATTCATATCCCATGCATGTAAAAATGATTACATTAAACTGAGTATTTTATTTTTAATTAATTGATTAATTTCTTTCTTTTAGTGCCTGTAACGTTCATGGCACAGCATGGGTTCAGCCATTCTCAGTAAATTTCTCTGCTGTCTCTCCTCAGAACTCCTGGTCCTTGTGATAAATCACTGGGACTGCGTGGACTGTGGCTATGGCAGTCAGTGTGCTAATTTCCAGAGACTAGATACCCAGCACTGAGTACTACATTAAGAAGATTAATATCTGGCAGGGAGTGCTCTCTCTAGCATTATGGCTAAGAGTTTGGGCATAGGATTTGGATAGCATTTGTTCATATTTTTTTTTAAAGATTTTATTTATTTATTTGAGAGAGAATGAGATAGAGAGAGAGAGAGCATGAGAGGGGGGAGGGTCAGAGGGAGAAGCAGACTCCCTGCTGAGCAAGGAGCCCGATGCGGGACTCGATCCTGGGACTCCAGGATGATGACCTGAGCCGAAGGCAGTCGCTTAACCAACTGAGCCACCCAGGCGCCCCAGCATTTGTTCATATTTTGTCACTTAACAGCAGCCGGGGGGGGGGGGACCACATCAGTGTGTTAGTTAAGTTCTTTAAGCCTTTGCTTCTCACTTATAATGGGGCAATAACAGTGGATGTTTTGCCAATATTAGTTTTAGATAATGAACATAAAGTGCTTATCTAAGTCCTGGACACATAGGAAGAATTCAGTGACACATGTTAACTTTCCCCCTCCAATACACACCGAGCAGTATGCCTCCATTCTAGTTTGGGTTTCATTGTTCCAGATCATTGGCTACAGGCCTTAGGTCGTGATACAAGTTAAGATGTACAAGAAGATTGAGAAGGACTCTTAGAAAAAGGATGTAGACCTCAATTCACAGTTCCAATCTGGGGAAGGGGAAAGCCCTCCAGAAGAGCTCCTGCACAGCCTCCTTCATGCTAGAGAAGACTGAGCTGCTGGTTAACCCTCGGAGAGCTTCCATCCGGACCCAGCAGCTGTCAGGGTGAGAGTGAGGAGGCGGCGGCAGGAAAGTGCATTTTCTGGAAGAAGGTGCATGCTCAGGCAAGTGGTATTTTTTATTCAAGAAAGAGTAGAGTCATGTAAAATCAAAGGCCTCTATTTTAGAACGTGGCCTAGATATAACATTTTCTTTTGGAATTTCAATAAGAAAATGTTCTTTTAATCCATATTTGAGATAATTTAAGCTAGAAATTGAGGACCTGTGGACATAGGAATATTTAAGATGTACAGCTGGGTAAGATTGGATGGGTTTGGATTAAATATTTTTATTAGTCACAAAATGATATATTTTCAAGAGAGGAATTTAAAAATAGATAGAAATTAGATAACTTCTTAGGGCTAGAAAGAGTGTGGTATGGCAGAAGGGCTAGGCATCCGGTGGCCTGAGTTCTGGTTTTGCCTTTGAACTGACTTTCTAATCTTCTAACCTTTCTCTACTATTAAGTGAGGGGAAGAGAAACTACTCACACTTCATGGGAATAATGGCCATTCGGGGTGACTTGATCATTCATTCATTCATTCATTAAAAATACATAATATAGAATCATCTTTGGAGCATATAGTCCCTTAGAAGAGATAAGATGGCTATCTAGAGGTAAAAGGCAAAAGATTTATGCGATCTGAAGAGAAACCAGAGTATGGCTATCTAGAGGTAACGTACAAGGTAGAGGGTGATAAGTGTCACAAGATGGGTAAGTGTGGAAGTCCAGAGAGGGGAGATGCTTTGTCTAGGACCATCTATCTGGGATTGCTTTATAGCAGACATGGCTGATGACTGAATAAGCATTTGAAGGTCAGGTAGAATCTGGACAACTAGTGTTGAGAAATCAGTAGGTATAGACTGTTCCAGGGGAAGGAACTAGAACAAGCAAATACATGGTGTCAGAAAAATGCTCAATGTGAGGTGTGTTAAGGAGATAGAACATGACCGTGTTGGGTTAGAGTGCAAGGCACTTTAACACAAGGAATGGAAAAGAAAACCAGAGAAAAGGGTTTTGGGATGAAGTATAAAACTCTAGAGTGCTCTAGAGAAAACAAAGAACAATGGAAGATTCTGGAAAGATGTGTGAAATGATAGGAACTGAATATGAAGAAGACTTCCATTTTTTTTCCTCCTTGCCTATTTTTTTCTTTTTCTTGGTGTAACTTAGGTTACCTGGATTCAAATTCTGTCTTCACCATTTACTAGCCAGGGGAACATGAGCAGATGATATAACCTTGCTAAGCATCAGTTTCCCAAGTGGTAGGTGGGAAAATAACCTATCTCATAGGAATGCTATTGAAATTAAATGAAATGATAAGTAAAAACATTTAACAGAGTGACCAGTACAAAAGCTGCACTTACTAAATGGTAACTCTGCTTTTGTTGTCATTATTTTTAGGCCATTTATTAGTAGCCCTTTTCCAGAGGGCCTCCTCTGACCTTTCAAAATAAGGGAAGCCACCTAGTGGCTGTCATTACTGTTTTAAACTTGGAGTCAGTAGCAATCTCCGGGCCTCAGTAGTTTGGAAGCACTTTGTTAGTATTTCAGTTTGGAGTAATCTGAGTATTCAATCCTAAACATTTCCTTTCTATCTCTGGAAACAGTCTCTTAAAAAATGAGCTCCATTGATTTGGTAATTAAAATGATTCAGACTTTTGCAGTGATACTTATTTTATTTATTTATTCATTTGTTTATTTATTTATTTTAGAGAGAAAGAAAGAGAGACCCTGTGCGTGGGGGAGGGGCAGAGGCAGAGGAAGGGAGAGAATCTTAAGTAGACTCTGCCCTGAGCACAGAGCCTGACTCAGGGCTCGATCCCATGACCCTGAGATAACAACCTGAGCCAAAACCAAGAGCTGGACCCTCAACTGACTGTGCTACCCAGGCACCCATGCAGTGATATTTTATAATAAAAGTCCCAGTCCATGACTGCTTAGGAGGTTTGTTTTGTTTACTTTCCTTCCCATGCTGGTATCAGGTACTTAAAACTATGGATTTGGAGTTGAATAGGAACAGCCTGTTCTCTAAGTGCTTAGAGATGCTGGCTCTCTCTTAACAGTTGAATAATATTTTGGGTTATGTTGTAACGCTCTCAAATAGGTGAATAAGTGAAAGAGAATCATTCTATCGTTCATCCTGAGTGATAAGAAATGGAACATAGTGTGACATTCGCCTTGTGCTTCTTTTGTTCTTTCCAAGGAGGCTGAAATGGTCACCAGATACTTCCTTCCCATTTGGCATGACTGTCTAGCTTAATTAAACATAGGCATTAATGCTAAAAAAGAAAAAAATCAAATGACTGAGATTCCAGGATATTTACTACTACTAACTATTTAAGGATTATTCCTTTGGTGAAAAAAAAATCCAACTGCAAATAAAATGCCAGTAATCTCTTTTGTCAAAAAATTACAAGAAGGCCAGAGGTGCCTGGCTGGCTCAGTTGGTAGAGCATGTGACTCTTGATCTCGGGGCCGTGAGTTCAAGCCTCACGTTGGGTGTAGAGATACTTAAAAATAAAATCTTAAAAAAAAAATTACAAGAAGGATAAATGATCTTTCTTGTCAAAATCAGGCACAATTATTTTATTATTAAATTATATTGTTTACATACCCATTTTGTACATATAGCTTTTAAAATATATAATTTAATAAATGTATAAGATGTATACATTTTGTATAGAGAGAGCTTTATATGTAGAGCTTAAGTCACCCTAATAGCAGTGACCTCATATAATCTTCCTATAGTCCCGTAAAATAGATAGCTGTTTTCATTTTACAAATGAGGAAAGTAAGTTCTAGGAGTTAAGTAACTTGCCCAAGAAAAATTGACAGTTAATATTCTTTTTGTTACTCACTTGTCCAACATTAGGAATACTCTGAGAAAAGAGAGTTACTACCCAGAAAGATATTGGCGTTGATTCTGAATGTCATCAGTGCCCATAAGAATGAAGGAGTTTATTTTTGGGCGTTAAATCTGCAGGATCGGAGTTAGCTTGGCTGTGTTTAGATCAAAGCTTCATTGCTTACTACTTGTGATCTTGTCGAGTTAAGTAGGCTTTCCAGCTAGTTTTCTTATATATAAAAGGAGAATACTAATAGTATCTCTTCATTGGAGGATAAATGAACTAATTTAGGCAAAGCACACAGTACAAGGCTTGGTAGAAAGGTCCATAAAGCTAGGATGTCACTACAACTGTTATTGTAATGAGTATTATTTCAAGTGAAAGTTGAGTCCATACCTGAGGCCTGAGTAGAGCGAATGCCAGCGTAGAAGTACAAGCAGCCATCCTTCAGAATGCAGTAGCGCTGGACCCACACATCTGTGCTTCTGTCCAGTTGGTGCAAAAGGCCCAGGCACTCCGGGTTCTTGATAGCCAGGGGTGGGAGGCTTCTGTTGTGCAGAGTAACGTCTTCCCAGACATGGGTCTGCAGGTGTAGCACAAAGGGATCATCTGAGTGGCCATCCTGTGCCTTTGGTCATTGACTCCCAGAGCCAATGATACCAGCACAAAGGCTGTTTGACTTCAGAGAAGGCACTGCCCCAAGTGATTCTATTGCTTAAGTCAGTCTAATACTTGAGCAACTAGCCAGAAAACCTGAATTTATTCTGTGGCTGTAGAGAACTTCTTCCTTTCCATGTCCATAGACGTCCTTTCTCTTTGCTTTATATTCGAGTGTGAGGAAACCAAAAGAATATCAGTGGTATATAGAAAGAAAGTGGAAATGGGCACCTCAGCAAAGACTATGTCTAATGGCCTTGTCCACAAATGCTGGTCCCCGTGTGCTGTGTCACTGACCATTGGGAGTGTCCTCCTAGCCCTGTCCCTGTTCTGGCATGTCTACTGTGTCTAATAACAGCCCGTGGTTCATGCTTCACTTTAGAACTCCCATTTGTGCCAAGGTCCAAGTTCAGTGCCCCAGGCCAGATTTGGCCCTAGGCTCTCATGGTCAGGGATGTGGAAGGCCATGATAAATCAAGATCTTCTGGGAGGCAGCCCTCTGTCCACAGGCCTGAGAGGCAGGCTTTCCCCTGTAACTTGACCTGAGGCATGGGACAGAGTGCTTCATCTCTTTATCATAATGACCTGCCAGGTGCTGGCCAGGCCTTCTTTATTTGGTTTCATTTTTGCTCTTTAGTTTTAACAGGGCAGTGTGGAAGATTTCAGGAAGCAGAGCTGACTGTATTCTTTGCTGTGAAGTGGAAACCTGCTGGGAGTTTGGGTGTTCCTTTTTCATTCTGCTATAGACACTCGGAGTGCATTAGCAGAATAGATCCCTCTTAAAAATATCAGGCTCATTAGGATGACGCATTGGAGAGATGGATGAGTGTATCGAGCATTGTGTTCCAGGTAAAATGAAACACAAGTCCTGCTGTTTGTCATGTGATGATGCCAGTGATTGTTCAGAAAGGACAGTTATAGGACACAGGGCAGTACATGTAAGCTCAAACAATCCAGATTTTCCTGAATGTATAAGAGCCAGAATACGTAGAGAAGATAATGGATTGTAAATACCTTTGCCTGTGAGGAGATGAGCATATTTAAAGGAAATCTATAACCTTATTAGAAATCTTGTACATAGCATAAAAATGAAATAATTGGGTATTAAAGCAATTCCCCCCCACCCCAGCCAGGTGATAGCATTAGCTCAGAAAGGGGGGTATCAAATGTCTTAAGGGCTAAAGTGATGACTCACCTGTTGATGTTATGAAGTTATCTATCACTTTATAGGTCAAGCCTAAATTAAAAAGTATATTGCTTCAAGACTGGGAGTTGTGAACAGGTAGGAACAGTGAAAGGTGAGCTAGTATGTATCCAAAACAAGGATATGAACATAAACCACTGCATTTCTGAACATAAGACATTCATTTTCTAATAAGCTGCTCAGCCAACAGCACTATGCCAAGACATCCCTGAGATCTTGTACTTAGGGACTGGAAAGAAAACAGAAGCAGTAGTTTAACCTCCTGGACTGCTCTGTGCGAAACGGAAATCCCACCCCAATTTGTGACTGCCCAGCGAGTTCACTGAGAGAAATGTCACACAAATCCGTGAAAATAAAAAGAACAGCAGGAATGCAAGTTCCGTCATAGAATCTGAATAGAAAACCCTGTTAACTTAAAATCCTCTTTCCCAGCTTTTAGAGATCTGAGAAGTCCCAGGGTGAACTGCATGACATCTGACTTGATCCTTTCCCCCTCTGAGAGAAAAGCAGAATGGAGACAGAGATGAATATCACGGACACCTTACCTGGTGAACAGGATGGGTTGCTTTGTCCATTGCCTCGAGCCACCTGAAAGACAGTCAGATGAGAGGCACTCTCCTTTGGGGGCTGGATAAAGTATCGTTTGGAGGGGCTTGCTGTTCTCCCTGGAAACTCATCTTCCAGACAGAACAGTCCTGAGGCTCGGAGATATTTCACTGCTTGAAGATCATGGTTGAAAGGCCACACGTTCTTACAAAATTGGCATTATTAGAGGGCAAAATCCCACCCCCAGCAGGCATATTTAAAATAAATTATTGTTATCCTTCCCCTTTACTATAGTTTAATTAGTGCCTAAGAGAAAATTCATTCATTCTTTATTTTACCGAGGTTCGTGAATTTATTACCACCGGCAGGGCTAATAACAATTGGTGTTAATAACTGGAATGCACAGGCTATTACAATATGGAAAGACTGGCCAAAAGTCACTGTCCTGAGCTCCCTCCCCAAGTGTTCCTTGAACAGAGCTCCCTCCCCAAGTGTTCTTTGAACAGAGCTCCCTCCCCAAGTGTTCCTTGAACAGAGCTCCCTCCCCAAGTGTTCCTTGGACAGGCCACCTTTAGTGCATCATTAGTGCCCCTAATTGAGGACTGTATTTTCTTAGTCTTGTCTCCTTAGCCAAGTACCAGCCTATCCACCCCACCTCATTTGCCAATCTTTTTCAATTTTCTTTTAAACTCTGTAACTTTCAATCAAACCCTACTGCTTGCTCTCTTCCCCAAAGTTTGATTTATTCCGTCTGCCCTCGCTGGTTACATTTCTTCTTTTGCAGGCTTGTCTGATACTCTGCCACCCCCTTCATCAACTCCTCCTTCATCCCTAACTCGAGAGATCCTCACTCCCTACCCATAATTCCTAGGCCATTTTGTCTTCTCCGATAGCACTTCTCAATTTCTATTTCGCATTATAAATATTCAACTAAATGCCCTGTCTTCTTGGTTCAGAGCTTGTTTGAAGGCAAGAATTAGGATTTAAACATACTAATAGTCTGTGGAGAACTTAAAACGGTGTCTTGGACACATTAGCTAACCAACAAATACTTTGTCCATGAATTAAATACAATCAAGTTACTATTATCATATTTCCCTATCTGTCCTTTAAAGCAGCATACATTTGAATAAATAATGTTCCAAAAATAGGAAAAGTATATTTTTTGCCTAAGAGGTTTCAGACCTAGGCCTCTCTTTAAAATTCGAGCTGAATCTAAATCCTCTTTTTTTTTTTTAAAGATTTTATTTATTTATTCATGAGAGACAGAGAGAGAGAGGCAGAGGGAGAAGCAGGCTCCCAAGGAGCAGGGAGCCCGATGCGCAACTCGATCCCAGGACCCTGAGATCATGACCTGAGCCAAAGGCAGACGCTTAACCATCTGAGCCACCCAGGCGCCCCGAGTCTAAATCCTCTTAAAGAGACATGCCATTGACACCAAACACTGTTGACCTCTTACCTTTTTGTCATTCTTCCTTACTCCATCCTACCTTCACCCTAAATCAGCAACACTTACACTGAAATTTTCACTTTGGCTCACTGAATTGACCAATGATCTCCATTCCCTTGGGGTGATACACTGAGTAATGATCATAAGCCACTAAATGCTTAGAGTTTGTAGACTACCCTCTTAGAAAGCCTGCATGCTTCTAACCCTCCAGTTGGGTTGTATGCTTAAAAATGTCTTTCATTCAAAACTACATTATTATTATTTATTTTGCTCATCCCCCTGTAGTGTGCTAAATTGCAACCCTACTGCGTTATGTTTATACTTGGGACTATCCATCCGATTAGCCTAAAATATATAAATCTGATAACTTTGGGAAGCTAGATATGAACCGTGACAGTACTAAGCTTTTTTTAGAAAATGTGGAGATCTAAAGTAAATGAGTTAGGAGAAGATGTTTCTGTTCTTTAGAAATTGTTAGAAAAAAATTGGGGGAATAATGAAGAACCAAACTTCTCATTCTTCAGAAAAAGTTGACTGACTCACGCTGTGAATTTGCTGTTCCCTCCTCTACTTCCAATCCCCTGAATCTATAAGACTGCTATTGAAGAAGCATTCCTCCACCCAGTTGAAACTCGTAAGATCAAAAATTCATGAATTACCTTTTCATTTCTTGGTTTGAGGTTGCACAGAAGCAAAACGTTCTATTTCCAGACTGAGGCACACAGTTAAACACAAATGGTTTTCCCAAACTGCTATCAGTTCCAACTTCTGCACCTTCTAATTTTATTATTTCCAGAGGCGGGCATTTTCCTTCATCCTGTAATTGATAAGTCAGAGGTTCAGCATGAGCACTGCAACGAGGCAGGTAAGGAGAAAGTGAGTGAGGGAAGGAGGACTAAGGTTATTTTTTTGAATTGACTGTGTGTTCTGAAATGAAAATATAACCCAAATGAGCTTTTGCTGATTATGTTCTCCGTAATATATTCCACGGAACTCCAAATTTCTAGCTATGATATTTTTCCACATCCCTTTTGAATAGCCTCTAATAATATGAATTTTATTTATGCCACCTTGGGAAAGTATAATTAATTATTAACGCCCATTTTTCCCATGAGAAAAAAACAACATTAAAAGAAACTTATTTTACAAAATATATGTGGTTGATAGTGACCTGAGATCTCTAGTTAGTGTTTACAATGAGCATGCTTATCGTGGCAGGCCCTCTTCTAAATTGTGCACATCTATTAATTGGTTTTTCTTGGCAAATGCTCATGAGGTAGTTGCTTTTATCGTCTCTATTTTATAGATCGGGAAACTGCAGCACAGAAAGAATAAAGAACACTTCTCTTTAAATGACAGTATTTTAAAATACCATCTATGTATGCAAGACTAAAATAATTTTACAGGTAAATATTTTGTTACATTTATTTTACAATCACCTCTCAAAACATCCTGTCCATTATTCATGTCTTTTCTAAAAACAGCTATATTGAGGTTTAACTCATATACCATGAAGTCACTAACTGTATGGGTACAAATTAGTGATTGTTTTAGTCCGTGTACAGAGTTGTGAATCCATTGCCACCATCTAGTTTTAGAACTTTCCCATCAACCTCCAAATTTTCTTTGAGCCCATTTGTAATCAATTGTCACCCTTGCTCCTCCAAGCACAGGCAATCACACATCTGTTTTCTGTTCCTATTAATTTGCCATTTCCGGACACTTCATATAAGTAGCATCATACACTCTGGTCTTTGTGATTAGCTTCTTTTACTTAAGGTAATATTTTCAAGTTTCATCCATGTTGTAGCACTTACTAGTTCTTCATTCCTTTTGATTTTTTAGCTATATTCTGTTATATGGATATGCATCATTTAGTTCATCCATTTACAAGACAATGGAGATTTTTCCTTCAATTTTGGTCTATTCTGAATAATGCTACTATAAACATTTGTGCATAGGTCTTCATCTGGGCACATGTTTTCATTCTCTTTGGTAGATTACTAAGAGTGAAATCGCTGGGCCATATGGTAAGTTTAACTTTACAAGAAACTGCCAAACCGTTTTCCAAAGTAGCTATACCATTTTACATTCCCACCAGTAGTGTCTGAGTGTTCTAGATTCTCTACACCCTCACCAACGCTCTATAGTGCTTGTCTTGTTGATAAAGCTGCTGTCCTACTAGGCATTTAGTAGAATCTCCTGGTGATTTTAAATTGCATATTTCTGATGCCTGATGGTGTGGAACATCATCCTGACCAGAGCTTCTTAAACAATTTTAGGTAATGACTTTCTTTGAGATGCAGATGAAAACTATGGACCCTCTTGCCCCACCCCCAATACATGCATGTGTGCATATACACATGTGTGCACATAAACACGTGGGTGTAAATACATGTGTGTACACGAATGCACATGTGTGGGCACATGTGAATACATATGTGTATATGTGTGCATGTAAATGCATATGCAAAAATTTTCTTGCCACTTATGGGTAGATGGATGTAAGAATATTCTTCGACTAAAAATAATATCTCAGAGTTGTATGGCACTTTAGTTTATAAAACATTTCCTTGGGCTCTTTTTTATTTTTTATGACTATTCTATAAAATAGGAAGCCAATGTTATCCCCATTTTCCAGAGGAAGAAACTGAGTTTCAGTGATGTATCCCATGGTTACATAGACAGAAACAGAACTTAAACACTGGTCTTCTCGCTCTGTCTTCTACACTATTTCTCCCATGTGTTTGGCTTCTTGGGCCATGGAAATTTGGGAGACTGCTGGATCTTAGCATCAGCACTTGAAGGCTGTAGTATTCAACATTTTAGGAGACAGAGTGTCTCCTGAAGCCATCAACTTTTCTGGAATAGAGACAGAGATGCAGAATTTTGATCTGTTTTAGTAAATATAAGAAAAGTAGCACATTTTGTAATAATTGTACATGGTCAATACTATGACATTAGAAACCAGAAGAATATATTTTCATTTGCTTTAATAAGGATAAAGTCTTTACATGCCTATAAATAATGGCTATTTATTTATATCATTTTCTCAGGAGGATTGCAAACTACAAAAAGAAATGGGGAAACATAAAGCTGAGAATTTTATTCTCTTGAGAAGTGAGCGATGTGCTCATTTACTAAGAGCAAACGTTCACTGGGTTTGCTTTCCTTTGGGCCCATTATATAGATAAGATGATATGTTGGTCTCTCAGTATTAGTACCATTAGGTTACTCAAGAGCTACCATGTTCTCCACGTCCTTTGCTGTAGGAGAATGTAAAGGACTACCCTTGTATGGCATGTGACACACAACAAAGAACAGTACCTAAAGTCACTTATGAGGCTCTTTTTCCTCTGCTCAAGTATCAGCTTTGTGAGAAGAATGAATGATTGATGAATGGACTAGATTTAAAAAAATGAATGCTACTGTCTCTTACATGGCCTCTATCATGGCCCAGATTCCCATTTGACTAATCTCAGTGGCTGCCTCATTGCCCATGATTATGAGCCTGCTGTGGCCCTGGGAGCAGCTACAATAAGACCATAGACACAGAGCCTGTGTAGTGGGTGTGGGGACTCTTGCAGCTGTGCTTATTCGTCTTACTCTTTTCTCTCAGTTTCAC